TCGATGGAGGAAAAGATGTTCAGGCTAGAGCACGCCTTTGTTCAGTCCGAACCATAAATGCATCCTCGCAACCGATGCTCTGTGGGTGCTGAAATGCCATGAAGTAAATCGTATTTCTAGATGATTCGAGGTAAGAGGACGGTGCGTTTTCGCCGTGTAAATCCGATACAGGTGATCAGACGGTATGTTTCAGATAGTTAGATCTATTCAAACCACGAGCCTATATGAAACATGTGGAAAAATCAAACCGATAATCATGATGTAGTCTTCAGTAGAACATGTAATTATGATTCCTCGCGGTCTCTTCCAAGTATTTAGTCAAAATATTCATTTTCATAACCTCTTTGTGCTGTTCCCATCCAGTTTTCGGGTAATCAAGCAAATTGACATTCTCTCTATTTTTCTGCTGAATCTTCCGAACTGAATTTTGATCTTCTTAACACATTGGTGGCGTTTTGCAGGTACTGTAGTACTGTCCAGCCGTGGTCTACTTAAATAGTACTCTTTTTATGAGGGAGTGTGTCAGGAGTTTTATACCTTTCCCAAAACTTTTTCATAACGCCAGTTTTTTTGTAGATAGGAGCTTAGAAATGAACTCGCTCGAATGAGCCCTTATTATATTGAAGAAGTTTGCGCAAGATTATCATTTTCGACATATCACGAGACGACCACTGATACGCTGCGGTTGGGGCTGTCACCGTTGCTGGTTTAGCCGACTTAAAAGATGTCCCAAAATGCTACTTTCCTCCTCTGTCGATCACGCGCAAAGGTCCACTAAGTTCGACACTAGTCCAGAAAGGAGGACGACTTAATCATCAGTGTGACAGTTTCCCAGTAGGCTTTAACGTGTCTGCCTCTTTTCCAGTGCCATCCCGGATCCCGGATCGGGGTGGCGTTCAACATAGTGGCAATGATATTGTCTGGTGGGCGTCTCAGCGCACGCCTCAGCCAAAGTAGTGGCTGTTCTTTCGGAACACTGAAGAACTGGTTGGCATTGCAACGGCCACGGATTATTGCGTTGAATATACAGACAATGAATTGTCCGCCAGAAGATATGCAAACACCAGTTTTGGCAGATCTTAAATTTTCTCACGTCTTCGAACCTTAGCGCTTGGCTCTCACATCTACAAAGGAAGATGGAATCGACACTTCGTCCACAAGTAGATCTTTCTTCATTTGTACAGCGGCTTTCGGAGCTGCAAGAGGCCCCCCCCTATCGCTATATATCAGGTCATTTTGAAAGACAGAAGAATTAATGTATGTTAATCTGCTGATTTCGTTAATGGAAGTCATACAAAAAAGTATGGGGTTTGACTTGAAATAATGTGAAATGTATTTGTGTATCGCAGGTGTTCAAAAAAAATTGAAATGACCCATCTGAAGGCTACAAAGTATCAAACAGTGTACACTTCGTTAATCCCGGATTTGGAGAATTTGTTAACTAGTTTAAAAATATTTAGAATTCATTTTAAAACGTTCATTATATATTATAAATCGTCCATGTACTTTTGCATCGGCAAATTTACATTAAATTAATTCACACACTGCAAATATGAGTTTATGCATAAAAATATCAATACCAGTATCGGTATTGCCCTGAAGAC